TAATGCCTAAATAATTTCAAATGTAGCTACAACAGATGCCATTTGAAGCTGTATAGTTTACAAAGTGCTTCTATGTATACATTTCAACTTCAAGAAATGTACATATTTGCTATTTCAGATCTGACAATTATACAGTCATGTACTACATAAACGGTCCATTTAAGCAATGTCCGATCACATATACACCCACGATCCCACCCTGCGTAAAGCCTATTATATTAAAAACTAGAGATATCACTGGTTCATAATAACAAACAGGCACTATATTGGAACACACATCAAAACATTATTATTACTGTCACTGTATTTATTATGTCAAAGGAGCCCTGGTAGTGTAGTGGATTACGAGTTGGGCACTAAATAACTAAGATAATGACCAAAATAAACAGTTGTTTTATTTTCTTATTTTCTTTCTAATATACTTAACATTTTGACTTAACTGCAAGGTCAGCAGTTCAAGTCTACCAATCAATCTTCGGAAGAAAGATGAAGCTTTCTGCTCCTGTAAAGACTTACAGTCTAAGAAAGCCTATACAGGATTTCTGAGTCAGAACAGACTCCACAGGACACAACCAACCACCATCATCATCATGTCAAAAGATGTTTTAGTTTATCTAGAAGTGTTTAATTTTTTTTATACATAGAAAGGTACACTATATACATTTGACTAACTGATGTCAAATACAAACCGTACCGACTTTGTAAAAATTCTACTTAAAAACACTTAGGAACAAGAAATCATTTGCTATCTAGGACTGCCTATAATTGCTGTTATGTGCCATGGAGTCAGTTCTGACTCATAGCAACCCTGTACAGGGTTTCCGAGGCTGTAAATCTCTACAGGAACAGAAAGCCTCATCTTTCTCCCACGGAACAGCTGGTAGTTTCGAACTGCTGACCTTGAGGTTCGCAGCCCAATTCATAACCACTACATTACCAAAGGTCCTTTACTAGAGGATTTCAAAAAGTTCATGATAGCTAAATATCTAAAATAAGCCCAGAAAATGCTCACATTTACCACACAAAAAAAATGTTATGTTCAGCTATCAGAAGGAATTAAACTGTCCTTTTGGTCACTATCTATCTAGTGCTGCTGTAACACAAATGTGAGTGGATGACTCTAGCAAACACGTTTTTCTCCAGAGCATTCGTTTGAAGGAAAAGCTCTCTCAGCTCTGGAGGAAGGTCCTTGTCTCTCCTGCTCCTGCTTCCTGGTTCTGTGGAGATCTCCATAGGTCTTGGCTTCTATCTTACCCATCTTTCTCAGCCTGTCTGTCGCCTCATTTATATTTCAAGAGAGACACACTCAAGATACACCTTATGCAAACACTGCCACATTCACATAACAAAGACAACCCATTCCCAAAAGGGATTATAACCACAATGACAGAGGTTTGGATTTATAATATATTTTGGAGACATAATCCAATCCATAACATTCATTAACCCTAAAACACTGTACAAACAACTTCCAACTTTGATAAAATAGGTCAATATTCAACAATTTTCAAGGCACAAAAGTTACCCAGTAAAGCGATGGTCTCCCTATAAAACCAGCACAACCAGTACAACACACTTTTACACACTATAAACCAAAAGGGCAAGAACTGGAAACTCTTTAAGTATTCTGAGCACTATTACATTTTAATTGTATGCTCTTCACATTCTCTTTTCTCATTTCATTCTCATAAGAAAAGACCTCAAAGCTCTCCTATTTAGACAAGTCCTACTGACTGCTGTCCTGACTGGGCACCAGTGGCAAAGCTCGGCAGCAAGTCCGGTAGTCTGAGTCAAGGGAGAGAAGAGTAATCCTAAAGAAATTGCTTCAAACTACCACCATCACTGGCCTAGATTACTCTTCCTGCCAAGATCAACCCTGTCAATTCCCCCACAAACATACAGACATCACACATTCATCAGATACAACACACTCATACACACATCCAGGCTCTCAATAGTAACCTAATCTTTCACATTAAAGATGAATAATCATGTCACTCCCTGCTCAAAGTTCTTCAATAGCTCCCCATTGCTCATAGAATAAAAGTCCCAAATTCTCAGCAATACCTATGGAGCTCTGTATCACCAAATCCTTTCACATCCCCAGCCTCATTCCAAGCTGATTCCCCTTCAAAATCTAACAAATGACTCCAACGAAATTTCAGTTCCTCAAGTGGAATAGTGCTCGCTCACCTCTAGGTCTTCCCTATTGTATCCTCTCTGCCAGAGAAAACCATTTTTCTGTCTTCATTCCCTCCCCTTCTGCTACCTATCCTGTGAGTCTAGGCTGAAGTGTCATGTCCTCCAATCTATCTTCCGTTCACTCAAACCCCTGCTAAGGTAGTTGCCCCTACCACAACACCCTCTACTAGCACATTTAACTTTATCAATTTACTTCTCTATACTCCCTGACCTCCTTACAGCATGCAAGAGGCACTCAAGTATTTGCTGGCTGTATTCTAAACACACAAAAATGAACCAACTATAAACCTGCCCCATGCCATAAGGGAAGCATGTTCAAAGCCATTTGGGATATGATAAAAACAGGCAGCAGTTTCACTGTGCTTTGGTATAAAATGCAAATTATTTATGTGTAACAACAAACACATTAGGAAAACAAACAGCTCAGGAAAAATTCAAACATTACACATTAAAAAGAACAATTTCACCACAATAATACAGTGTTGTTTGTTCTTGAGACAGGTTAGGCAAACTGCAGTTCATAAAAAGTGCCAAATTCAAAGTAACAAAAAAGCAGCTCTCTGGCTACTTATAGGTGAAGTACAGTACTGAGTGTAACTTTCCCTCTCTGCGATTACCAATCTCTCTAGGTACTACTACTCAGAACCTTGGTGGACTAAGTTTCCAAGTCTTTCAAATAAAGTTCCACGCTTAATAATGGTCCCAAAAACATAAGCATGTTGCCAAGAAAAGACTTCTGATACATCCTAAGCACTAGTTGCCATTGGCAGATACTTTCTTTGGGGAACATGTCTTCTTTGAGGCTTGTGACACAAGTTTTTTGCAAGGGTAGCCGACTGATGTCACAAACATGATGGTACCAAGCACTCTATTGTTGTTGTTATGGGCCATGGAGTCGGTTCCGACTCATAGCGACCCTGTACAGGGTTTCCGAGGCTGTAAATCTTTACAGAAGCAGAAAGCCTCATCTTTCTCCCATGGAACAGCTAGTAGTTTCGAACGGAGCAGCTGGTAGTTTCGAACGGAACAGCTGGTAGTTTCGAACGGAACAGCTGGTAGTTTCGAACTGCTGACCCTGAGGTTAGCAGCTCGATTTGTAACCACTACGCTACCAGAGCTCCCTAAGCACTCTGTAGAGTTTACCAACTCCATCCTCCATTCCCTGTGTGTCTTGGGCAAGTGCTACATCCTTTTTAAGCCTCTGTTTCTCTATTTCTCCAAAGAAATAATGGTCCCCACCTCGTAAGATTCCTCTGGGAATTAAACTGTCCATGAAAACAGTTAGCTGACCTCCCAGTTATTTTCAAATCAAAATGAAGAGGAGACTATAAACTTAAAATTTTTCACACCTTATAACTTTTGTAAATGCACTGCATTTGTTGTTGTTGTTAAGTGCCATCAAAGAGGTAATAAGAAAATAAAGCCCCATTTTTTTTTTCATAACCACCTTTGGATTTGACATATTTCACAGAAGCCCACATTTAAAATCCATATTCTAATCTTTGTACTCTCAAAATTAGCTTTATTTCTACCTTAACCTTTTCTGTTGCTGTTGTTAAGTACCGCCAAGTCAGTTCGGACTCACAGGAACCCTGTACAGGGTTTTCGAGGAGCGGCAAGTGGGTTTGAACCGACAAACTTGTGGTAAGCAGTCCAGTGTTTATCCTACAGTGCCATACCAAAATACTTCAATACTCTCAAGATGTCTTCAACCAGAAATAGTCATTTACTTCCTGCCTCAATACTCCTCCACATATACTGAGTCCTTCAAAATAATAAATGAAAAAAGGCTGAATCACTAAAGTTGGTCTTGAAAGTTTCTGGTTTCCTTACTATAGCACCATAGTCAAAAGATATAAGAGGGCTCCTGTTAGGTCAGAGGTAGCAATCCATAAAACTCCAAATGTTTCGAGAAGAATTCAACTGCAACTTTGAGAAAAGTGGATTCCCCACCTCACAACTGTCCACCCTAACACAGGACGGTAAAGTAGTAAGATATGCTGCCCAATGTGAACATGTTTTTCACAATTAAAATAATAGAGAGTTTCGAGGAGGAGTATTTTAGTCAATCAAGCAAATTGGCTCTCATAATTTCAAGGCAGGTTGATTTGAGTTTTTTTGTTTGTTTGGGGGGAAGGGGAGGTGTTTGGCAAGGAAATGTTACTCATCTTCTCAAACATGCTTTAAATAATAAAGGTGAGCCCTCAACATAAGACTTTTAACTTTTAACTTTAACCCAGCCTGGGTGCTGGGCTCGATTTTAAAAAATAGGTGACGTGTGAACAGCTTCCTAAAAGCAAATGGGGCACTGGGATATAATTTAGGAAGTGATGATGCAAGTCTAGGGGGGGGAGGGGAGGGGAGAGGTGAAAAAGTCAGAGGAAATACCCTCCTGATGCCCGGGCACAAACTCACACCAAACGAGGGAGGGGGAAAGGGCTAGCCTTAACAAGTCCAGGAGGGGGGCACCCTGCTCCACTGGGAGGTGCCAACACCGCCCCTCTTCCCTCCCCCACTGCCCTGCCCCCCTCACCCGTGGCCCGAGAGGCCCCCGGAGGTCCGAGTCCCGAACAGGCGAGTCCCACGGGGGTGGGAACGGACCTTGGGCAGGGCCTTCGCCGCCCACCCCCGGCCTCCCACCCGACGCCCCACTCCCGGACGCGGCCCCTGCCCGCTCCTCGTAGGCCCAGTTTGGGCCCAGCCCCCAGGGTCCCGGCCTCCCGGGGGCCCGAGGCCTGCCTGGACCACCTCGGCGCCCGCGCCCCCGGCCCCCGACCCCCACCCGGCCGGTCACTTACCCCCAGAAGCCGCAGGGACAGCGAGGCGGCAGGCTGGGCGCTTTGCTGCGCTCGCTCCCGGCGTCTCCCATGGTGCTCGGCGGCGGCGGAGCTCGGCAGCGGCGACGGCGGTGGCGACGGCTGGGCCTGGGCCCCGCTCGGAGGAGGAGGCAGCGGCGTCGGGGGGCCCGGGGCGGGGGGAGGGGGAGGGAGCGGGCGCGCGGGCGGGCGCGAGTCCGGGGCTCCGAGCCGGGATTCCAGGCCGGTCAGCTGGAGGCGGGCTGCACCACTCGGCCTGTGGAGACGGGGGGACCTGGGGAGGCGCGGAGAGCAGAGGAAGGGGAGTTGAAGAGGAGGGGCGTGCGGGTGAATCGAGGACCGCGGGGGAGGAGGAAAGACCCGGTGCCCTCGGCAGCTCCCACCGCCGCTCCCTAGCCAGAGCGATGTCTCGTGCGGCGGCGTTAGGGAGGACCGGAGTCCCCTGCCGGCTCTGGACTAGCAGCGGCTGCGGTGAAGCCTTGGGCCGCCCCCACTTCGTAACACTCGCCCCTCCCCCTAGGCTGCAATGACCGGACAATGGCCGCTCCGCCCCCTCCCCTCTCCGCGCACCCCTCCCAAAGAGTCACAAATGGTCTCGCCCGGGGGAGCCACCGCCAAGGCCCAGCAGCTGATCAGCTGGGATCCGGGCGTGCCACTTTGTTCAGCGCCTCAAAGGAAGAGCACTGGGGTCTGAGCAAAGCCGACAGCGTCCGTCTGTCACAGTGACGGGCTTCTAAAGCCTTCGAATTCTTGGAACTTTAAAAAATCAGAGGCAAATTTACCTTTCTACTGTCTGAGGAAGGGAAACAGTCTTCTGAGTACTCTGGGGGTTTTGCCTCCCCCTAAAGGTGAATGGTACGCCCCATGCGGGAGGGGGACCAGCAGGTTAGTTGTTTAGGGTAAGTTGGGCTAGTCCCAGAGCGGGCGAGCGAGCGCTGCGCATGCGCCCGGGGACCCCAAAAACCTAGTGCGGGGAGGGGCCTTGAAGGAATGCTTCTAAACCCGGAAGTGGGCCAGGGTCTTCCCCAGGCTGCCAGGAAAGTCTCTGACCCGACTGCTCTTTCTTCCTGGCGCTGCCGGGAAGCAGTTCAAACTACCAACCCCTTGGGAATCTCTATTCCAGACTCCCACACCCAACCCACTTCTAGTTCCATCCGGAGATAGTCTCTTGGGAAAAGTCCCTTTCCGTCCTTAGCAGTTATGGGGAAAGGGTGCCTTGAACAGAATCCTCACTTCGTTCCCAGCGGTGCCCAGAACCTCAATCACATATCTATGCTTAATCCAGGAGAGGTTCTTTCTAGTCGGAGTGTCCAGGTTCAGTTTTTGTAAGGGAAGCTGCGGCCGAATCAGCGTTAGAAATTTATATGCCCAAAGTTGTTTCACACACACACAAAGCATCTTTTAACTCTCCTTGTCATTGATGCTGAACTCACACTGATCCTCTAGCCCATGATGAGCAGAAACCTAATTTTTTATGTCTAATTTCAACGCTAAGGAAACATTCACCAGACCTCCTGACCCGCCGCTGAGGTCTTGCTACATTTCAGGAAAGCAAACCAGCAGGTAGGATTAACTGCCATATACTACCCTCACTGACCCAAGGAGGATTGAGAGCCCCACAGGGTATTAATTTCTTTCCCAGTGTTACTTTTTTGTTCCTATATGTACCAGATCTCATTTCTGTTTGTACATCATCTTTGGATTTGTCAAAGTTGTTGTTTCTTTTGACCTCTGCACTTTGAAAGAGCAAGGATGAAGACAATCATTGCCAAACTCAACTCGCTTAAAGCCACAGAACCCTCCTTGCCAAACTCAAATCGCTTAAAGCCACAGAACCCTCCATGTGAATGCTGATTTATTGTATATAGTATTTAGCTTTGAGTTTGAGGATTTTCACAAGCCTTCAATAAATAGTTTCCCCAAAAGTCTACAGAATAGCTGAAGTAATGCAGCACTGGACTCATGTTGCTCTTAAATCTCCTCGTAAACTGACAAAATTACCACATTCATTAGGCGCTTCTTATGACATTAATTGCGACTCACTAGACATCTTAATGATTTTCATTTATATATGGAAAAGGAAGCCTTAAAACCAAAAGAAAAACATTGTTATAGAAATTTATTATCATTCTTACAACCTTCCAGCCTATCTGTCTGTTTGCCAGTTACATTCAACAAGCATTTATTGAGTACCCAGTATGTACAAGGAGTCCTGGTGTGGCACTGTAGGATATGCACTGGACTGCTAACCACAAGGTTGGTGGTTCAAACCCACCAGCCACTTTTTGGAACCAACTTGACAGCACTTCACAACAACAGTATGTACAAGGCATTTCCTAAGGCCCCTGGAAACTAAAAAATAAAACAGCATTAATACCAGGTCCTGACTCCCTACACATAAGTTACAGAATATGGTTACAATCTTCCTCTCTAGCTTTATTTCCTAGTCTTCTCTTCCAGGTACCTGCACTCCAACCACTAGTTTCCATTCCTTGCTCTTTTACAATCTCTGTGCTTTTGACCACTGCCAGAACTACCCTTCCTCTTGTTAGCCTAGCACACTTCTCCAGGAGCAGCTTACTTTGTAAATAATAACGCCAAATTCTGCCAAGGCAAAAATGGTCTTCACTTCCTCTTCCCACATAATCTCCATCTTGTTGTTAACTGCCATCAAGACAGCCCCTGACTCATGACAACCCCAAGGCCTACAGGATCATGCAGGGCTTTCATTAGCTGATTTTTTACAAACAGATTGCCAAATCTTTCCTTTTAGTCTGTTGTTAATCTGAGCTTCACTGAAACCTGTTCATCATCATAGCATCATGACAACAGGTGGTGGCTACACTGAGGTACACTGACTGGAAATTAAACCCTGGTCTTCTGCATTTTTTTGTTGTTGTTAAGTACAATCAAGTTAGTTCCAACTCATGGCAACCCTGTATAGGATTTCTGAGAGTAATCAACTTTGCAGTACCAGAAAGTCTCATCTTTTTCCCATGGAGTGACTGGTAGTCTCAAACCGCCGATTTTGTGGTTTGCAGTCCAGTGCTTATCATACAGCATCATATCAGGGCCTTCTGCAAAGAAAATAGGGAGTCTACCACTGAGCCATCAATACACTCAATCTTGTCTCTTCTCATGAAACCTAGCTCCAAAAAGAATGGAATTAGAACAAAGCTAGCCTGATACAATCTACTATTTTAGTCAAGGCTCCTTTGTCTGCAAGTCCAGCATGGATTATTCAGTATCTATGAAACTCACTTGACAACAGAAAGAATCTGACTGATCTAGCCTATGCCAAGTGTCCCTGCCTGTCCATAGCATATGGCTACATACAGCTTTGATCAGTAGAGCTGTATGTAGCCAAGGCTCTCAGAAGCCCATACTTATGGCCTACAGTTCTCAAACAATGTCAGTAATGTTCATGGCCAAGATTCTAAAACCTGTCTATGTCAGACCAAAAAGGAATAAAATGCAACCTGAAACTCAAAAGCATAAAGAACAATAAACAAGTTCAAGAATTTGGGTTCATTTTCCAACTTCCACTTCAACTATTTCAGGCTCTTCCTCAGAAAAGCTTTCACTGATCCCTGGCTCCAGTCAAAATTGCATTGCCCCATTATTCTCTTACATGACACTTTTCTCCTTTGTAGCGCCTATCTCTGCTTATAATTAAATATTTATTTGTGTGTCTCCAAAGATCATGTCTGTTTTATTCACCGCTATATACACAATGCCCAGGGCACATTTGGTAGCCATTCAGTAAATATTTGTTGAGTGAGTAAAAAGGCACAATAATGTACAAATCAATGTGAAACACCTATATTAATTGGCATTCCTAATCAGACTACCCTGGGGGAGTGTCTGGGTCGGCAACCCACCTTCCTTAGAAAACACCAAAACTCACTGCATGTTGTGAGAAATGAGACCCCAAGTACATCTGCATCATCTTGTGGTGCTCCCAGACCAGCTAACTCTTCCCTCTTAGTTCCCAGGGTCTTTATCTGAAGAGCCCTTGACCTAATTCCTATAACATGCTCACATAGTTAGCTGAAAGCTCAGAGAGAACATAAACTTTCAGGGCATCATCAAATTAGAGGACTAAAGTGTGGGGGTAATTGGAAGAAGTGCTTTTGTCATAATTGTCTCAACTATTTTCCAATGTGGATTACGTTCCAGATGAACCTGTAATATGACTCTTGTGGGTAGTTTGCAACCACCATTGGCCAAAAAGGAGCCATCTATCTGTTCAGTAGGGTCTGCTAAAAGATAATATCAGTGCTTCAGCAGCAAGAGCTCTTGAGGTAGCAACTGAGGTTATATGAGAAAGAGCCTGGTGTGACTCAAGGGCTGCTTTTTGGATAGAAGTCCAAAAGGGACCCTAGCCCTAGAAGACACACCAAAAAGAAGGTGCTTGTAGAGGTCTGAGAGAGAATCTGCCAACTCGCATCCTAATCCTTACCCCATTTGTTGTTGTTGAGTGCCGTCAAGTTGGTTTCTACCCACAGGGATCCTGTATAGGGTTTCCAAGGAGTGGCTGGTGAGCTTGAACTCCCGACCTTGCAGTTCAAACCAACTTTGTAGTCCAGTGCATTTACCCACAGTGCCACACCAGGACTCCAATCCTTACCCCATAACTCTGTCTAATCCAAGTTCAAATCCTGCTAACATTGTAATTCATTCTAATCTGATATTAACCTAATGTCCAATCCAAATTCTGGTTTCAATCTTAATCCTAATATCTGTAAAAATTAGTCCCAGAGCTCAAACTTAATCCCAACCCCAATTCTATGTGCTTAACAAAGTCTCCCTTGTCATGGAGTTATTTTCCCCAGCTCTTCTTTTTTGTGACCCTTGCTCCTGATCCACTTCTTGGGACAGAGAACTCTGGACCCCTGGGGAAAATGGGACCCAGTTTTAATCATTCTAAAAGAGAAAAGGGAATTGGACTACAGAAATAGAAAAATTAAGGGCACCTCTCACCTGGGCAGAAGACAGAAACTCTGCCAGTCCCACTATGTCCTGTTACCTAGTTCAAGAGCTGCTCAGCCTCTGAAAGTCCAGATAACACCAATCCA